TAATAAAAATTGTTAAGGCGGGGCTCAGGAAGTAGTTTTGTGACAGGCCAGGCCCTCAGTTCAATCCCCAACACCATAAAACCAAAAAATTCCAAAGTATATACATTACCAGGCTCAAGGACTGTCCCTTGTATGTCATTCTATTTCCCAACTTCTTTATTAGCTACCATCAAAGGTCTAAGGGACGGCAACGGGAGCTAGACAGCTTGTTTCTATTACACAACCCATGCTGGCTCTGAAGAGAATGGGTTCAGCTTGTTCAGCAAACATTGACTGACTGTCTACTTCTGTCGCTTGGCTGGCACTGCCCCAGGAACTGTGTTTATCCTGTGGGTTCCAATGAGCAGCCAGCAAAGGAACCCATCATGCAGACTGAAGGCAAAGTCATGTAATGGAGTGTAAGCACTCACACAGAAAGACAGGACTGTGCAGTCTGGACAACTGGCCAGTCCAGACTTCCTAAAAGCACAGATGATGTCCTTCAGGTGATGGTGGTGGGGGACACACACACCCATCAGGAATCATCACAGCACTGTTTGCTTAAGTGATGGAGTGATGCCGTTACACAGAGAAACCCTGTCTTGGAAAAACAAAAACAAGAAAGTGATGGAATGAGCCTGAGAGAGGCTGAGTTAGGGACACTACACCTGAGGGCAAAGAGATCTGAACAGTTAGCTACCTCCAAAAGTTCTTTTAACTAGGCTTATTTTAGAAAGTTAACAAATTGGAACCTTTAAGATGGCACAGCAGGCCGGGTGTTGGTAGCACACGCCTTTAATCCCAGCGCTCGGGAGGCAGAGGCAGGGGGGTCTCTGTGAGTTCCAGGCCAGCCTGGTCTACAGAGCGAGTGCCAGGATAGGCTCCAAAGCTACACAGAGAAACCCTGTCTCGAAAAACAAAAAACAAAAAACAAAAACAAAAAAAAGAAAAAAAAAAAAAAAAAAAAAAAAAAAAAAAAAAAAAAAAAAAGCACAGCAGTTAAGGACCCTTGCTCTCAAGCCTGGTGAACTGAGTTCTTCCATCCCTGGACCCACATGGTAGAAGGGGAGAACTGACTCTCAAAAATTGACCTCTGGCTTGGCAGTGGTGGAGCACATCTTTAATCCCAGCACTTGGGAGGCAAGGGAAGGTAGATCTCTGTGAGTTTGAGGCCAGGCTGGTCTACAGAGTGAGTTCCAGGACAGGCTCCAAAGCTACTCAGAGAAACACTGTCTTGGTAAACAAAAACAAAAAAAGAAAGGAAGGAATGAAAAGAAACCCTGTTTCAAAAAATAAATAAATAAACAACCCCTTCCCCTCAAAAAAGGAGTTGTAGGCTAAAAAACAAAAAAAGAAAGGAAGGAATGAAAAGAAACCCTGTTTCAAAAAAAAAAATAAATAAACAACCCCTTCCCCTCAAAAAAGGAGTTGTAGTCTGAAGATATGGCTGTGTTAAGAGGACTTATTGTTTTTGCAGAGGTTTGGTTCCCAGCGCAGAACCCTCTATAACTCCAGTTCAAGGGGTTCCAACATCTTCTTCTGGCCTCTCAGGGAACTGCACACAAATGATGCAAATACATACATTTAGGCAAAACATTTAGTCAGAATCAAATAATCTGCCTAAAATACAAGAAGATAACTACCTAAGGATGTCCACCATTGCATTATTACTGTCTTTTTGTTGTTGTTGTTGTCGTTTGTTTCTTCCCCAAGACAGGGTACCATAAAGCCTGGCCTCAAATTCACTGTGTAGCTGAAAATAATCCTGAAGTTGTGATCCTCCTGCTGAAGGGACTATGGCAGCTCAAGCATGGCAAGCATGGCCCTGGCAGGCCTTGCCCTTCTCCTCTGCCTTGCTAAAACCTTAGAGTATATTCCTGAAGCTAGCCACCAAGGTGCACTCCCTTATTCGGCCACTTCTTCCTTTTGGCTGACCATCAAGGTCCAGCTATCAAAGTATTGAAGTCTAGAAATCAAGAGCCCCCTTTGTCTCACCTGATTAACATGCTCAATTTAAATTAAACACCTCATCCTAACACCTAACATGGTGTCAAACCCCCCCCCCTTTTTTTTTTGATTTTTCAAGACAGGGTTTCTCTGTGTAGCACTGGTTGTCCTGGAACTCGAACTGAAGACCAGGATGGCCTGGAACTCACAAAGATCCACCTGTCTGGGATTAGCCTCCTGAGTGCTGAGATCAAAGGTGTGAGCCGCTGCCACCACCTGGCAGCCTTGAGTGGTTTTTGTTTTTTGTCTTGTGACAGTCTCCCCATGCTCTTCTGGCTTCTGAATTTCTGGGCTCAAGTGATTCTCTTGCTTCAGCCTCTCAGGCAGCTGAGACTACAGGTGTACATCATCTCACACAGCTTTTGTCATGAAACAATTCTTAATACACAAACTCAGACGTTAGACATGCACTCTCTGCTGGCTTTGTAACCCAACAATTAACTTAGGAGACTCTCAAGTCAGCTTGAGCTACAGAATAAGGTCCTATATCTCAAAAACAGGAAGTAAAATATACCATATGGCACATTACAGGTGATCAAAAAATATGCACTGGGTGAAAAAAATATTTGTATGAACTCAGAAAAAGTGTTTCATGATACAGAGTTCACCAAACTGGTAAGGCCTGGGAGCAGCTGGCAGCTAGCTTCTCTAGCATGTGCCAGCCCACAGACTCCATCTATCCCCAGCACCGAAAATACAATAGGGGCTGGAGAGACAGCTCAGCAGTTTAGAGCACTGGCTGCTTTTCCAAAGGACTTACAACTTACAACATCCACATGATGGAGCACAACAGTCCGTCACTCCAGGTGGCTCATTAAATGTCCCTAATGCCAATTTCTACGTATTCTACGCCCTCTTCTGGTCTCTAAGGACACCAGGCACTCAAGTGGTACACAGGCAGGCAAAACGCCCATACACAGAAATAAAAATTTTAAATATATAATAATAACAATAATAAGAATGATTATCTTCTAGAAAAAATTAACCATTTTAAAAATATGTTTGTATTCTGTAGACTGGAAATGGATAAGCTTTTTTTTTTTTTTTTTTTTTTTTTTAAAGACACAGGGTATCCCTGGCTGGTAGAACTCACTATGTAGACCAAGTTGGCCTTGAACTCACAAAGATCCACCTGCTCTGCCTTCCAGGTACTAGCATTAAATGTGTTTATCACACTTCCTTACTTTAGTTTTAAAAAATGTATTTGTTTATTGTGTGTGTATGAGTGTGTCTGTGCAGGTTAAAAGGCCTGTGCACACTTAGAGGTCAGAAGAAGGTATTGTATCACTCTGCCTAGTCCTCTAGAAGCAAGGTCTCTCACCACCTGTGGCTCCAATTCTCTGTTAGGCTGGAAACCAGCAAGTCCCAGGGTCCTCCAGTCTCCACCCTCCTCAGAGCTGAGTTTACTGGCATATTCCCGTGAGGCCAGGTTTATTACCTGGCTAACAGGATCCAATATTTCCTCAAGATTTCCCAGCAAGCACTCTTAATAAACAGCTGGGTCATCTCTCCAGAGCCCTAATTTGTTTTAAAAAAACGTTCCTGGTGACATTTCTCTCCGTCTTATGTGAATTTTAGGATGACCCTAAGAGGACATGGAAATTTCTTTAATGGTCTAAAATGTGCGGGTCTGTGGTTAGGAAACCTTACCTTTTGTTTATTATAAACTTTTTTTTTCTTAGATAGTGCCTCGCAGTCTCCTAAACTCACCAGACAGCAGCCATAATAGAAACTAGAACTTAAGTGGAATTCACATTTCCTTCTGCTAAGTGTGCATTTCGAGTACTCCAACTTTTAGCAGGATCCCTCTCTAATGCTAAAGTGCTCAAGGATGGACTCACTGGTCCCCTTGACAGATGTAGCCTGGCCCAGGGAGTGACATGCATGTCACTAGTCCACCGAAGGGGAAAAAAGGGCTTTTCCTGCAAGGAAGCCTAGGATAGGGAGGCAAGAAACTAGCGAGTCTGGCTCAGGGCACAAGGTTGCGGGATCAGAGCAGGGCTGCCTTGGGTACTTCGGGAACGTCTCCCAGACTCATACTCGGATTGTGGTTTAGTGTGTACCGCAGGTCGACTCTTCTCCCATTCGACCTCACAGACCGCTGCAGGTCTGCGCCGGAGAGCAAGCAACGGAAACACAAAGCTGACCAAGTTAAATGAAAAAGATCAGGAGTGCGAACTGTTCTAGCGTCTACCTGGGGCTCTGGACTTAGGAGCGACAGGAGAGAGATGCAGCTCTTCCAGGAGCCAACCAGCTCACCTAGAGAACCTTCTCAAAGAACGCTCAGCCCCTGCGGACTCCCGGACAGAGCGCTGGTGTCTGCCCTCAGTCAAGATGGCGGCCACGGCGTCTACGCGCCACAGCGCGCGCGCGGCCCTTCGCACCCTCCTCCTCCGGTCCTGCCGACCGCCACCCCTCCCACTCGCCAGCTGCAGCACTCTGCGCGTCCCCAGCCTCCCCCCTTTTTGGCGGGCCCCCCCCCTTCCACGCCTCCCCCCCCCG